TTTTTTGGCCCAAATAAATGTATTAAAGTTGGTTAACGCCTTCATTTTGGGGTCGAATGTTGAATGTGTCCTGGTCTGTTCGTTTGTGGGCTTGCTGTCTGGCTTGCGTTGCCCCAAGTAGGTGTAATAAAAAATATGAATTGTTGTTGCATTAAGCTCCAACATCAACAAGAACAACAACAACAACAACATCTTGCTGACTCCCAAAGAAGATCATTCAACAATTTTTACGAGCTGATCGGCGAATTCGTGTGAAAGAATGTGCAATGCAATGTGTTTGGATGCTATGATCGAATATCGAATAGGTAGGGTATTCAATAGTGTCTACGGATCCAATTGAATATATATAGGTTTCCAATCAACATATCTTTTATTTTCTAATAAAAAAGTGAATGAGATAATAGAAATTTATGATTGCAAAACTAATAAAATGAATCAAATATAAATAAACAAATTAACAACGTTTTAAATAACTGAGAATATACGATAAAGATATCCATTAAAATATGTTTTTTAAACTTTAAATAAAATATGAAATTTATTAATAAAACCAAAGAATTCAAAATAGAAAAATAAAACAAATATGTGCTACATTTTTAAAATTGAAATCTATTTCGAAATTGTTGGGCATTAAGAAAATAGTTTTTATTACTTTTGTCGAGCCTTAGAAACGTTTCAACCCTAAGAAATTTCAACACAACAATTTAAGAAGAATTATTTTAGAAAATATATGCGAAAAATCAAATTTGAAGCAAATTTCAGAAGAATGAAGAAAAACTTTTGTTATTATTATTTTAAATTTTCCTTTTCTGCAAATGCTCAATACAAATATAACATATGAAAGATTTGACAATAAAATATATAAGTTGCCACAATTTTAACTGAATTTTATTGCTATTGCAAACAAATTATTTGACACCCATTGCTATCAAATGTATAAATGAATAAGAAAATTGATTATATGCATTTACTAAAATTGTATTAGAGGCCTTTGTGTTCCCATCGATTGAACTGGATTTAATAAATTAAATCAATAATCAAATATGGAAACAAAGAATGGAATATTGAATCGCTTTTTTCCGGAATTGATTCGTTTTTGATTGAAAATTTAATTTGTTTGTTTTAATTTATTTAGCCAATAATATAGAAATGTGATAATACAACTTGACAAGCCAAAAATGGCCCAATAAATAATATTGCATCAAATCTATGCTGGAAAATCTTCGTAGGGCAATGAATTGCCGTTGCGGCCAAAATTAAACAAGTTGCTTCGACTTTGCTGCGGTTTTTTTTATGGGCTTTTATTAATTTTGGCAGTCGCATCCGCTTTGGCCATATCCCTATTTGTTTATAGTTTGAATTAATTAAAATCTATAAAACCATTTTGTTCAAATTGGCCCTTTGTGGTTCTTTGCGGTTCTGCGCCAAAAAGGACACGCAAACGAAATGCAACCGATATGGAGGAACGAAACCTGACTTTGCCAGCCGGACCAGCTGCAGCCGAAAAGGCCACCCGCTGCTCAAGTCATGGGCGTAGCCAGCAACTCATTAAGAGGGGCACACAATTTGTCTTTGCAACAGAAGACATACTATAGTATACTATATAGATACAGGTATGCTAATGAAAACTGGTGAGCCCCTGTTTACTTGTTGAATACAAGAAACTGGCGATTATTGTCGAATAGGGAGAATGCGAATATTAATTCCAGATTGATGGACTTATACATTTTCTAGGCACTACCATCCGTAAATATAAGCGAAACGAAAAGTTTTCAATCAACTTTTAATAACAAGTGAGAATGTATGTTTAAATTTAGCAGCATAAAAAAGAAGAGCAAAAGTCTCAACTAAAGTAAATTATTTCGATGTTAACTCTTCTTATAAATGGTTTAGGGATGGTGGGTAGCGCTGTAGAATTCTGTAGCTGGGGAAGAGATGATCAACTCGTAGTAGAGCATATAAATCAAGTTTGGTAAATGCTGCTTGTTCAATCTTTCAACTGACAGACAGGTGGACGGATATGTCTAGATCAATGCTGATTAAGAATATACTCGAATGCTATATTATTTGAGGGGTCGAAAATGCGTCCTTCTCCTTATAAGTATGTGAATGCATATACTTACAAATCAAAACATGCTCTTTACATTTTAGATACTGTGCTTAAAAAGGTAAGCTCCACTATGGCGAAAGAAAGGCGATAATGAAATTACGAAATGTCTAAATATGTACTTTTATCTCGAAAAAGTCAAGTCCGTTAAATCTAGAGAACGCAAAAAAGTTCAATACACACTTAAATTAAATCAAAAATCAAATATTCATTAATCATAAATTAAGTTTTTGTAGACTTGACGGGAGACTTGTGCCTTTTATTTGTTGGGGAATATTGTTAATATTATTATTATCCCTTTGAATCAGTTAAATCGGACCAAAGAAGGTTTAAAATTGGGGTAAAAATTAGTAAAAGTAAAACATATTTAAAGCGATGCTTCAGCGGTTTCCATTTAACAAACCAGGATAAGTTTACCAATAGTTCGATGTACTATGTTTTGTTTGGAAACATATGCATTAAAATATTTTCATTTAAGTTTCATTGAGGATAGATTCAGGTTTATGCGTTTCATGTTTTTTCAACATGGAACGCATTTAATGTTTCTCAATTCCACACGAGACGGACTGACATCGCTGTTCATTAAATTCTTACGAGAATGTTCCACAACAATTGTGTTCACTGTGTCTGCTGAAGTGAAAATAAATCGCATGATGATTTCGTTTTGATTTCTATCCAAGGGATGTCGCACTGTGCGGTGTGGGGCGGTCGCAGCCAAAAGGAAATGCCACGAAATTGAAAATTCAAAACGAAATTGGCAACCACATGTGCTGTGTATATACGAGCGGAAACGTGGGCCGTGCGTAATGAAGACGTTAAGCTGGAGTTGGGGAGCTGGATCATAAGTAAGCAGCGATGACGGCGGCGCATGCCTGGCAGCTTTAACGTTGTTACTGCCACTGCCTCTGCCACTGCCACCAGTGCCACGGCCAGAGTCAGAGTCAGAGTCGCTGCCAATGTTGACGTCAACGTTGCCGTAACTCTTTTGCGGCTCGTTTCGGTTCCGCTTGCATGTTAACTGAAAATTCGTATGAAGGCGAGAAATTAATGAATCATTCACACCTGCATGACGGATTGTCTGCATTACTCTCGGAACTCTCGGGACGGTGTACGACTGTGCGACGAGGATGAGAACGAGGACGAGAACGTGCAAGAGAACTGTGTGAAGGGGGCGCAACGCGCCTGACGCTTCTGCCGAAGGAGTTGCCTTCTAATTTATTTGCCTGATGTGTGTATTACATTTGTGGTCGGTTCGTTGAATGCGTTTGGATGCATTGCGTTGCGTTGCGTTGCATTTCAAAAATTGCCTCTCGGCCAGTGCGGCAGACGAGTGTGTGAGCGAACGAATGAGTGCGGCTTGATGATGCGTTCAACAGAAAGTATCTGTAAGAAACAGTTGCTCAACAAGCTGCACTGTGTGCCAAACACTACAAAAAGTGGCAATCATGTAATGATAAAATTTATATACATACATAGTTAGTTTAGTGTTTTAATCTACACAATACTTATTAGTTCTTATAGATTTTGGAGAAAGAAATCTGGGCAATAAACACGTATGTATATTTCGGCGAAAATATGCTCCAAGGCCTTCAACAAAGATTTTCTGATAAACAGAATATGGAAAAAATACTAAGTTGAATATTCGTTTATGTCTCGAAGAACTCTTTTAAAAATCGTATTTACTTTTTGTCAATTTAAATAGAAAATTGAAAAAATTGAAAAACCAATTTAAGGGATAGTTCGCAGATTAAAATAAAACCTTCTTCAAGGCCATAACATAAAAGAGACACTTATTTCTTATTATACATAATATTTAACTTCTAACCGGTATAGCCAACCTTATTTTATATGACCTTATTCCGCATACTTTAAGCTAAATTGAGGGATAAATGTGCTCTAAAGAAGTGAGGCTGATTTATAATAGTAATGGAGATCCAATCCTTCATCACCCATTTGGTCATTAAGGAGCGTCTTTTGGAAACAGCGCACTTTCTTATTTCAAATATCTCCTTTTTTCGAACATACATACTATATTCTGTGAAATTACTTCAATTGTGTGGATATTTGTTCTGGGATCGTAGTTTTAGCACTCTTGCTTTTGGAATCGCATTTCGAGAAGAACGCGCTCGTAAGCTTTCAAATTTTAAATATTTCCACTTGCTTTCTCTCAAATACAAGTATAACATATTGTTCTGTGAAATGACTTCAGTTTAAGAATAATAGTGCTCCTGGAAAAATGAATGATTCGTGAAGTCTGCCTAGTTCAAACAAATATTTATTATGTCGATATCGAACTTGCAACATATTTATCAGATGGAGACAATCATCCGCATTGCTACTGAAACCTTAATACTCAGGTTTTTGATCAAATATACTCTTATAATCTCTTAAAATGTGGAAATAAAATGTTGCACTTTAAGTTCTTTTTGCTACAATTCTTGTACATATGTTATGCAGCTAGAAACTTGACACATTTCCCCCCAAAATCTGAAATTTGTTGCCATTGTGCAACGGTTCGTTGCATGCCGCGTGTGAATTTGATGGATGCACTGCCTGCGCCTCCTGCTCGCACATTCGCATAACTTTGTGGCACACGCAGCCGCGGGCCAGTCGAGATCAAATTAAAAAATGCACTCGAAAGAATGCGCTATGCGGCCTCAAGCTCTACTGCCCTGACCCATTCTTTGCCATTTTCCATTTTGCATTTTCCATTCTCCATTTGCCATCTCTCATCACCCATTACACCAAAAGAAAGACATTTGATATGCACCAGAAAAAAAAAACGAAGGTATTTATGTCAACACGCATGCCATAATGCTAAGTACTCGCATCTTCCAGCTGCTCTATACAATCTACAATCTATGGATAATGCTAGCCACCGTGTTGCATGGTGTTATGTCTGCATTGCAGCACCGCCCAGCAGCGACTCAATGCTGAACGAGGAGTGGTGGTGGCCCTTGTGCACTTGCTTGGGGGGCAGCGTCGGGGCTGGTAGCGCGGGTAGTGCTGGCAATGGTTCCAATTTTATTATAACTCTACCATCACCATCGGAACTATCATCGTGGGAGGCATTGTTGTTGTTGTTGGTGGTGGTGGTGGTGGTGGTGTTGTTGTTGCTGTTGCAGCAGCTTCTGCGTCTTATTCTTTGGCTTGTGTGTGTTGCTATCGTGGTTATGTCCGAGCTACGCGAATTTTCCAGACTATCGCCACCCACGCCGCCCACCACATCAATGGGCAGCTCATCGTCGTCATCGCCAGCCACAGCTCCCACCTTCTCTGCTTCTTCCTCGTCGGCCCCGGCCATCAATTGGAGGCCATGTTGCGCCATATAGTCCGACCGCAGCTGCTCCAGATTCACCTCAATGCCCTTCAATCGCAGCTTCCGCGCCTGCCGCTCAATGGCCTTGGCAATGCGTTTGCGTTGCTGGGCCCTGGGTGGAAAGAAAATGTAGACTGATTAGCAACAGAGAGAGATAAAAATAGATGACATATGACTAGGCAGGTTGCCCCTCAATAGCATGCTTCACAACAATCCAATTATAAATCATAAGTCACTATTAATTTGGCTACAGATGACACCCCTTATTAATAGAATACTCTTCAAATAGATAATTAGATTCTAATCTTGGAGCTTCTCAATCTTGTCCTCTGACACTTTTGTGTTTCGTGGAACTAACCGTTTTTCGTTTGTCAAAGTCGATTTAAAAAACTTTATACTTTTTACATTCCTGGTATTGAATGTTACCAGAAGAACATTTGCTACTAGCTTCCCCAACTTTCCCCTGGTCTCTGTTAATAGTTTTTAGCCCATTCTTAGAGCACGAAATGCAAATTCGGGAATAACGTCTTACTCTTGAAACTGCCAACTAAATATTGCGAGTAGTTTTAAAACATATTTCACAAAAATACTGAAATGTTGAGAGAATAGTTTAGAAAATATTAGATTGTGTAATTGCTGGTTTCTTTATTGAAGTTAATCTAAATATATATTAATAGGAAATTGATTCGAAACAACAAACAGATTGTCCCTGGCTTTGGGAAAATATTTAACTTTTTTTTTGGTATTTTTAAATTATTAAATCTTTTCTCTTAGAGACTAATGACAAGTAGGCGGAACTTAATCTTATATATTTATTGAATTAAACGCAATTGATTATTTAGAGTACGGCCCTAACTATTATTGCTGAATGCGGAGGTCTGTCCCATATGTCAAGTTAGACACTACGCAAGTCTATTAGGATGGGCCTGAAGCTTGATCTGATACTTTACTTTCACCTTGGCGATTTCATCTTTAATCGATTCTACATTTCTTTTTTTTTTTGTTAGTTTCTTATAAATTAATGCACTAGTCAGAAATTATGAATATTTTCATTTCCCAGTGATAGTTTTTAGAATTTTTGACTGAGCTCTCTGGATTATTTCTAAATTTCTAAATTACAAATGCAAGCGTTTTCCCGTAATTGGTTTGAGAATTGCATTTTAGAAGAATACTTTGTTGTCTTATGTTTTTGTACATAGTCCTTAGGATTTTGACGTTCGAACTTAAAATTAAAGCATACCCTTTACTAATTTCTCATTGGGATTCTATTAATAGGGGCAACCAATATGTTATTGATTTTGATCTCAACTCACCGCTCTTTGGCGCGTAGCTCGGGTAACGGTATGGGAGCTCCGCTGCAGCTTTGCGGCTGCGCATTGTGGGCTGGCCGGCCGGGTCCCTTCTTCGTATGCTCCTTCTTGCGCCATTTGGCGCGACGATTTTGAAACCAGACCTGCAATGAGACGAGTGGCAAGCGCGTGGTTAGTCTACAACAACAACAACAACAACAAGAAGGAGAACTGCAACAGCAACAGCAACTAGAAAAGCAGCAACAACATCGATGACGACAAACAAAATGGCGTCGATAATCGTCGCGCATTTTGTGAAACAACTCAAGCGCAACCAAAAGCAAGTTGTCGTCGTAGATGATGTTGTTGTCGGGGGCGTGTATTTATATCTGTGAATGTGAGAGTGAGTGTGTGTGTGAGTGTGTTGTGTATTGTTGCATGGCGGCGGCTTGCGGTGACAACAACAAAAACAATAATAACAACAATTCATTTGTATGCGTGTATGTGTGTGTGTGTTTGTGTCAATTTGAAGTCATTTGCATGCATTGTGCACTTTTTAATGTACAGCAAATTGTTTTTGATGTTCCATTTGTAGCAACAACTACAACAACAACAAGTACAACAACAGTGGCATGCAATGCACACGACCTGCGCTTTAACAAGCCACCCAGCAACGTCTGTCTGCCCTAGCGGTGGGTCGTGTTTGTTCAAAAAGGCGCTAGAAAACACGAACAGAACAACAATATAGACCTAAAATCGAGGCATCTAGTGCACAATTTCTCGGTGTTCAGACGAACGGACGGACATGTCGAGACGTGTTGAGATAGATGTGGTGCCCGAAAGCAATGCAAGCCAGGAAACGCTAGTTAAGCTATAGCAGTCTATATAGAATCTAAATACCTTTATCGAGCGTTATAAACAAAAAAAAAGGAAAGAGCAGAAAAGAAAAACACAAACATGAAGTTACGTTCAGACATGCAAATAATTTCCCCACGAATTTGTTTTTTTGAAATTTGACAATCAAGAACGAAAGCAATGCAAGCCAGGAAACGCTAGTTAAGCTATAGCAGTCTATACAGAATCTAAATACCTTTATCGAGCGTTTTTAAAAAAAAGGAAAGAGCAGAAAAGAAAAACACAAACATGAAGTTACGTTCAGACATGCAAATAATTTGCGCACGAATTTGATTTTTTTTTCTGCAATTCGACAATAAAAAGCGAAAGAAATGCAACCCAGGAAACTCTAGTTAAGCTATAGCAGTCTATATAGAATCTAAATACCTTTATCGAGCGTTATAAACAAAAAAAAAAGGAAAGAGCAGAAAAGAAAAACACAAACATTAAGTTATATTCAGACTAGCAAATAATTTGCGCACGAATTTGACTTTTTTTCTTTTTGCAATTCGACAATAGAGAGTGAATTCCAAAGCAGAATGATATTTATGATATTTAGCCAATTTTTTTGCCAGTCTGTCCATACCTTCAGTTAACTACTACACAATTCATAAATTACTAATTAAATTACTCCTATAGATATAAGTGCAATATATTTTCTTGAGCACAAAAAAATACTTTATAGAATCGAAAGGCTCAGAAGTTATGTATGACATGCAATTTGTTTTCCGTAGCTTGAGTTTTTAAGTCTAAGCACATGCTGAGATACGATATACATACATAAGTATTATATGCTATATTGTTTAAAAAAATTTCATAATTTTGTTAATCATTTGTTTTGAAAAAACATTAAAGGTTCTTCATACAACAATATATAGTATAAATTTCGTGTAATGTGCTGTTAAAACACAGATTTCAGTCGGTTCCCTGTCCATCCCTAGTACGCCCCATTCCCTCTACCTCTTCCACTCTTTGGATTTGTGCACCAACCATCCAACTGATAGACAGAGAGGCAGAGGGACAGACGGGCAGACAGACAGACAGTCTGACAGACAAACTTGACTTGTCGTTTGTATTGACAAATTGATATGTCATGTCAAGAAACAATTTCAGGCAAAGCGTTGCACTCTGTCCCGCACCCAGGGCACGATAATCACACGATTGACATGCAAGTGCAGCTTTCCGAGGCTTTGAGGCTCCGAGGTTGCGAGCAAAAAGGGTTATACTCTTTGGTCTTCTCCCCGCTCGTCCTTCCCATTTCCCCGTCAATTCAGCAATTGAAATCATTACAACAACAAGCGACACGAAACGCAATTGGAAATGAAATAAAATGAATTATAATGAATAAAAATAGGAAGGTAATTGGTTTTATTGAGTAATTGAGTTGCAGTTGCCGCCAAATTGTTTTACAATGGCGTACACGCAACGTCTTCGAGCTGCGCACTCAACTAACCTGAACAATAACTTCAATGCCAAATTTGTAACCGCTTTGGTCAAGAGAATCTTAAGGGCACATACTATTCTCGTATACCAGTTGATGGCAGTTGTGAAATATCTTTAAATACTTGTATGGTTGTCAGGCAGCTATGTTTTAACAAATTTATCGATTTATTTGAATCGAGCATGTCTCAACCACAGTTTTCAAATCGAAATACGAATCGTTTAGTTTGGGTTTCCAGCGTGGAGTTGTAAGGCAGCTGCGTTTTTAGAGAAAAATCAATCGAACAATTCTACAAAAATCATGCACGCATTTATGACGCTTTTAAGTCTAAATTTTGAAAGATTTTTATTTGAATCGAGCATGTCTCAACCACAGTTTTCAAATCGAAATATAAATAGTTTAGTTTTCCAAGTGGGTTTCTATTAAAAAACTGAAACAAACTTGACTTTTATGGGACATAGCAGAGTCCGAATGCCAAGTTTGGTTTTTCTAGTTCTTTTGTATACTTTCCACTCACACAGACGGTCAGACGGTCAGACGGACAGACGGATGGACGGACAGATGAACTGACGAAGAGATTTGCCTAGAAATCGTATTGCTGATTAGGAATAATTATCATTATTATTGATTTGTTGCGCTTACAAGGCGAGCATTATCAGCACCTGGTTTTTTTTTAGCTTCAACTTACCGCTATGCGGCCCTCCTTTAAGTCCAAACGCATTGCTAATGCCTCACGCATGAATACATCCGGATAGTGGCTGCTGAGGAAGGCGCGCTCGAGCTCCTCCAACTGCCAGGTGTTGAAATTTGTGCGACAGCGTCGACGTTTCCCAGCACTGCCATTGCTAGACGCATCGTCCTCGTGCATGGGCGGCGGTGGAGAGTCTGCAAGGGGCAAATAGAAAAGTCGATAAGTCGTTGACATTAAGCGGCAAGCAGCCAAAAAATGGAGCCAGGGCAGTCAACAGACTAGCAATCAGAGCCAGGGCTGTCGCGGCATAATTAACTGACAAAAGGGTCGGGTTGGTCGGTGTGCTCCGGTCTGTACTGGCCTGGACGGTTCGGGGCTAGGTGGGGATGGATAGAGAGTATTATAGGGTAGGACAAGAACGTCGGCTCGGTAGGTAGGTTTGGGTGTGAGGCGCATCGTTGGGTTTTGCTTTTCGGTTTCGTTTACACTCCGCTCGCATTATAATTGCAAACAATTAAAGTCTATTTATGCAAATTTCCAAGATATGCAAACGGCGGCCGTACAGGCAAAGCCACACACACACACACATATCCACAAACATATTTATTTACATGTGTGTGCTTGGGCTTGTAAGTATACACATATATACATACAGTAGAAGCTGCTTAAAAGGGAACAAAAATCACTAAACTTCAGAGTCCTAAGCCATTTCATGAAGAGGAGTTTGCTTTTTAAATCGAATTCTCTCTTGGTTCCACATTTGATGAGCATATGTAGAAGAATGCCTAAAACCCGGTGGGCATGTATAAATCGTCTAATTTAGGAATTTCGGTATTTAGTTGGTTGTAAGAGTATACTGATAGACATATGAATAGTCTGAATGGAATCGAGCCTAATCCAGATTGATTTAAACTTATAAAACACTGAAACCGCACAAGAAAAACTTCATCTTAAATATAATCCCAAAAGATTAATATACATATGCAAGAATTGGGATCGCATTTCAAGAAGAATTGAAACTTAAATGAGTTCTAAAACGTTTGATTTTAATTTAAGTATTCAAGAGAGGCTCGTACTCCTCTGTTCTCATGCTCTCAAAATTCAATAATTGACTTAGCTTTTTCTGTTACTGTCCACTGTAATTCCCAGATCACTTTTTAGCACATGATTTTGATAAATATTATAAGTTGCAGCCATTTCCCACAACAAGAGAAATCTTAAGCTGAATATTGGCTTTGTTTGCTAATATAGCCTTGCCTGCTCATATTTTGTGGGCTTCTTGAAAATCATGTAAAATAATACAAGATTTAGGATTTTAAGACTAGCATTGGTTAGCCGGTGAGAAAGTCAAATATAATCTTAGCTAGCCGTCAACACACTTTCTACACTAAGTTACAAGTCGATGTTTCGCGTATTTCTTTACATGGCAGATATAGTATACCAATAGCTCAAGATAATTGCTGTAGCTGGCTGGTAAACAATTCCGCTTACATATATTAGAATATATTTATATTGGATAACAAATCTAGTGGATAGTGCGGACGGGAGCATTTTCGTTACATTCGTCTAGCCATTAAGGACGAATGATATAATTGTTAGTGCTTTAAAAACCACACAACAGACTCTAGGAGATGAGAGCATCTCTACAGATCAATGACTATACCTACATGCATATACATATGTATATATCCTCTCATCACATACGAGTGTATCTTAAATGTCAGTTGAGTTTCAAGGCTGATTGCCCCGCTTAAGCAATCGCAATCAAGTGGATAGTCCGGGCGGGCAAATCTTCGTTACATTCCTCTAGCCATTGAGGGCTAACCATCTAATTTAAAAACTACCCAGCAGACTCTAAGAGAAGACAGCACCTCTAGAGATCATATATATATCTCATCACATACGAGTATATCCTGAAAGTCAGATGAGTTTCGAGGCTCGATCGCAATCTAGTGGATAGTCCAGGGGAGCACAACTTCGTTAAATTCCTCTAGCCATGAGGCGCGAACGATCTAATTTAAAAACCACACAGCAGACTCAGCAGAGAACAGAGCACCTTTATATATATATATCTATATATATATATCTATATATATATATATATATATATATATATATATATATATATATATATATATATATATATATATATATATATATATATATATATATATATATATATATATATATATATATGTATATATTCTCTATTCACATCCTGAAAGTCAATTGAGTTTCAAGGCTGGTTGCCCCGCTTAAGCAATCGTTACTGTACGCAGAAGCAGCCGACATTTTGGCGAACTCATTGGCAACATTGTCGGTGCCATACCCGTTTGGCTTTCCATTTCCCTGTGCCCCTGTTGCCGTCACCGACACCGACACCGACACCGACACCGACTCCGTCTCCATCTCCGCTGCCGTTTGTCTTTCTAATTTATAGCAGCGCAAATTGGTTTTCACAATTAGGAAGTGGTGGGTGTTGCCTGGGCCATGTTTGTGGCGGCTCGGATATGTTTAAACTGCCGTTGCGGAAGTAAATTACATAGCAGTCGGCAGTTGTTGTTGTTACTGTTGCAACACTGGCTATTTAGTTGTTGCAATTGGCAACATTCGCATTAGTGTTTTGTTACTCTCACACCCACACACACCCACACACACCCACACAGACACATCCCATTCTGCTGCACTGCTCCAAATGTTTTTTAAGTGAAATTTAATTGCGAATTTGCTAAAGAAGTTCGCTCGTTTGCCATATGATGATAAGCAATTACGCATAGGCGGCGGGAGTCGGCGTCAAGCAGAGAGGCTTTAATGCCATTTAACACACAACAACCACTAAAACCGCAATAGCGAAAGCAACAGAAAAAACACAACACAAAACACCACCAACAGCATAGAGCAGCAGCAACAATAATGTCGTCGTACACCTCAAAAACCAATAAAATGGGCATCAGCACGTTAAGCCCCCCATGAATGTAAGATTTGTGCATCATGGTGTTCTTGTTGTTGTTGTTGTTGCCTCTTCACTTGCTGACTTCGTTAATGGGGGCAACGATGTTGTTCTTACTACTGCTAGTTGCGAGTTTACCGCCCCACATTAGGCGCCAGTGGGGTGCTACGTGATTTTCATATGTTAAAATGCACACAGATTTATACAATTTATAAACACATCTGTTAGCAAATCGAAGGAGTGTCCAACAACCCTCAATTGATGCCACACCAGCGGCAACAACAACAACAGCAACAACAACAACATCAACTACATACAGTAAAGGGCAGACCCTTCATAGAGTTCAGCGCACAGAAACTATAAGGAAAAAGGGGCAGGTCCTGTCGCGCAGCTCAACATCGTCCCATTGTCCATTTGTATGCTTCGACTCTCAACACTCGTATCTCCTCTACTCCCCTTTCCTTTCCTTGCCTCGGATCGCCTCGCCTCGCCTCGCCTCGCCTCGCGTCGCGTTGGCTCGGCTCAGCGGCCTCATCATCACACTTGAAAGAGTAAATAAAATATAATTCCTCAAGGGTGTTATAAATAAAATTATCTGAATTATGGTTTTTGTTGACTTTGTGACTTTGAATGTTTTGTATTCGAGCTGTTGGCATAGTTTTCCATTGTTGTTGTTGCTGTTGCTTGGGGTTTTCCTTCTTTTTTTTTCTAATTTGTTACAAGGCAGCGGGTGTACACGTAAGCAGCTTCATATGTTCGCTGAAATCGATATTTGAGAGCCATAGACAAAAGGGGATTTCTGGGGAAGGGGGGAGCTCAGTAAAGCCGCGGGCACTAAAACTGATAATGGGCATGGGCCGTATGATAGGGATTTTAGAGCTGAATTACGGCAGCTAAATTAGTGAGTGTGAAGCCATGAAAGACAATAACGAGTGGGAAAACATCCGAGCATCGGATTTACAGAAATGACAAAATGTTTGTTTTGCTTTTTTTTTTGTTTTTATGATAAGGTTAACTAGACTTTGAATGTACGAGTATACTCGTATGTCATGGGTTAAGAGGCCACAATGTGTTCAGAAGCGAACACGGTGCTATGAAGTTACTAAAAATACCAGGATGTATGCTGAAATGCTAACAAGGAGCGTCTCTTATTTACTTAAATATATTTATTTCTAGAATTTTGGAATGAAACGTCTTAGACACATATCGTATATTGAGATATGTTAGTGAATTATATGATTGGAAAGGTGCTTATTGCAATCTTGTAGCGACACACTTCTGCTGGTAAGTGCTTTAAGGTGATTGGCTTGCTAGGAAGAAGCATGCATTATGATCTTAACTTTGGCACGTTTTCGACTGCTCGGGGCAAATATCAAATATATATCAAAATATCCTTGTAAGGCTAAATATGCTGCTTAAGTTATTAAAGCACAATTGTTGAAAGTTAATGTTTTTTTTTCAATATTTTATTTTGTATGCTAATTTACTTTTAATTTTTTGCAAAACAAAAGCAGAAGTGCTTGCTGTTCATTGAGATTTTAGACACTTATGTCCGATTTTTTTGATTTTGTCAATCTGTATGTCAGTTCAACAAAATACATATTTCCAATTATGGAATAAAAATGAAATGAAATACAATATATATAATGTTTCTACACAAGTAATTCTACAGTAAGAATATTAAGATACAATAATATTAAACCAGTTGGTTAATCTGTGCCTAGAAATCTTCAAGCATAATCTGAATATGATTCGATTCTTCCAATTTAATTTTGTTTTAACATTTATTGTCCGATTAATACCTATAATTCATCTAAAACTGCTTCACCCAACTAGCGTTTATCAACCAATTGCAATGAGTTGAGAAGCTCCTCAACTTTCAATTCTACTTTATTAATAACTTTAGCATTTGTTATCTATCTAGTATTATTTAAGCTAATTCTTCAATAACTGTTTAATCCCTGAGCTCAAAGAGAATACTATTTTGGCAATGAGGAGGATGATAGTCTCCCAGAATGCTTTCCATTTTCCGGCAAAAGCAATTGTTCGTAGGGCTTGAAAAAAAAGATTTCAAACTTTACAAATGTCAATTTGAAAGCCAAGATGTTTGTAGACTTGTGCACATATGTATGTACAAGTATAATGAAAATTAACTTCACACAGCACATTAGGCAGCTGAGAGAGAAACTAATCCGATCGATGGAGGACACACGACAAAGGCTGGCTGGCTTTCTGGCTTGCTAACACATTAATACTTAAGTTCTGTTTTGGTACTTGGCCCAGGGGTATTGCACCCGAAAGTAAAATTAAATCATGTTGATGATGATGCTGGCTCGCTTGTCATACTATATACTTGTATGTATATTCTCTCTAATTAAAAATGGTAGCCCTGTTTTAATTAGGCCAGAAAATGACAGGAGTGCGAGGCGTTCACAAAAAAGAATTTGCATATAAACTGTATAAATTGTTGTTTGTTGTTGTTGTCGTTATTGTTGTTGTTGTCTGTTGTTGGTGTTTGCTGTTTGTTCTCTGCTTGTTTGCTGACGTTGTCTAATCTATGCGCTGCTGCATTGGGTCCCCCATCAGCGTCACCATCACAGTCTCCGCCTCCGTCCATTGCCCGTTTGCCCCTTAGTTTTGCCTAATTTCAAAGGTCGTTAAACAAACAAACTCAAGTGGAACAAAATGCCACACACACACACACACACACACACACACAACGCACACACAGAGTTTCGGGCTAGGCATAAACCCTCGGGGCATACAACGGTCGATTTCGAGACCATAACGTAACATTATAAAGCTGCAAAAACTACCCGCAACACCCGCCCAAGCGGCGCAAATCTCGAAGGTTGGCGGCCAAAGCGAAACAAACGAGAAGAACGAACAAAAAAATAAAAATAAATAAAAACGAATGCACCCAACGACCCACAAAAAATTACCCAAAAAATGCCCGTAAAAATCTATAAAAAAAATTAACTTCAAAAAAAAAAAAAAACAGCAACAGAAAAAACGTCTGGGTCTGAGCCCATCTCATTAGCATTTATAGGCCACACGAATGTTGCCCGGTGGGCCGGTCGTCGGGTCGATCTGCCACTTTTTGAGGTTCATTAGAAGCTTGTCACATGATTTGTTTTGCGTGTGTCGCGCAGACGTCGCGTCGCCTCCCGTGAAAAGGCAAAAGGCAGCTCTCTCATTCAAGCAAAAAATCAGCTAAAACTTAGAAAAAAAGAAAAAATCAAATACAAAATCAACGCCAAGTCGCATAAACTATTAGGGCTGCTAATTATGTGACCCTCACGCTGTCAACCCCCAGATGGGTTAAATGGAAAAAAAAGTGAAACAAAAAACACAGAGACACGCGCTCATGATGCCTCAGTTTTGTCGCTGTTTAGTTTTAGTTATTTTTTTACTGCGAGTTGAATTCGGTTTAACCCCTTGCCGCTTTTCATTGCCTGTCAAAGATGCCTTGATGAATCGTTTGTCGCTGGCCCAGGCTGGCTGGAGTGAGTTAAATGGTTCAGGCACCGCGTGCTAAACGCACCTCCAATCAGGCAACGTGGGAATTTTCGCGCTTGACAACATTTCTTTGAACATAATGGACTTGGGTTGCATTAATCTCAAGTTATTCCTTTAATTGCTTGTCGATCTTGTAAACAGCAGTAATCTGTCCCTTTGTTGACTGTATGAACGCCTTGATTAAAGATATTTAAACAGCTAGTACACAACATTTTGCTGGAGTATTTTATAAATGAGATTTCTCCTTTTTATAAGAGTATGTTGTGGTTATAATTATAATAATAGTGGTCAGTCAAAGCTAGATCCTACAAATACTTTATTTTATATTATAAATACAGTCTCCTTTTAAGACGATTGAAAACACCGTATAATAAATAATAATACATAAGCAAGTACAAAGAATACTTCTACTTAATAGTGTGAATACTATACACTATTAAGTAGAAGTATTCTGTGCACTTGTTCGACTGTATGAACGCTTTGATCTAAGAGATGTTAAGTGCTTGCAGCGTGAAACTTTGCCTATTTATTACTTCGATATTTTATTTATAATATTTGTTCATTTCATTAGCTTTGATTAAAAAAGGAACAATCAGCCAAAGAAAAGGCTTAGCCCTGCTCAGCAAATTCCTTACATTTTAAAATTTTGTCAAATGATCAAATTAATAGACTAGTCTATCTTAGCCAAATTAGAAGAGTGGTACTAGATCGAATTTATATAGTTTCTGAAAAGTTGTATTATTAGATCTCAATCTTAGTTAAGAAAAAGTTTGGATCGCTTGTTATAAGTCCATCATATTCCAAATTTTGAAGTATGCTCTAAAGCAAGCTCATATGCAGACGAATGTGAGGGAATATCATTGATTTTGATAAGTCTGCCATAGCTATACTTATGCCTAATTATTTAAACATGCTTAAAGCGTTTACAAGGTGTTACCCC